GATTTTCTGAAAGTAATTATAATCTAGTAACAATATATGTATGGAGAATGACTATCCTATTAATAGACTTAAAATAAGACCCAAAACTTGAGCGCTTTCGAATAGGTGGGTCTTATTTTAAGTCTAGAAATAGGATAGTCATTCTCCATACATATATTGTTACTAGATTATAATTACTTTCAGAAAATCTCTTCATAAAACATTTATTTAGATATAATATTGAGAAGGAAAATTAATCATTGTATGACGGGTATTCAGCTTGTATTCCTATAAATTCAAAGTACGATACCTTATTGACTTTACCTATCATGTTACATTTAACTCATCAAGATTATAATAAAAGACATATTTCCAAAATCTCTGTTACTGACATCTAGAAAACCTGAGATAAATCTCTGAACATTTTATTGAAGTATTACGAGGGGGGGGGGGCGTAGCACTCTCGCAGCTTCACAGGTGGTCCCCTGAGCACCCAATGAATGATGGAAGGGAAGTAATCACATAATACGACGCACATCATCCGCACAATACATCATCACAACCAATATGTCCCCAATCTTAATCTCTGAATCTATCAATGTACGTGTTATTATCTAATCAAACGTAAATACCAAAAAAAAAATCTTTTATTACACACATAAACCACAACGTATATTCAAATGTGTATAATTTTTACTTCATAAAGTTAACTATAAAAAATATTTTTATAATAAATAAATACAATAATAAATACTGAATATCGAATTTAATTATATATTGACATTATCTATTATATAATAATCCATATTTTAAATATCCATATATTTTATTTTAAGTTCATTCATTCTTAGATTTATGACGATTAGTCATCCATTTCTTCAACACTGGTGATGATTTGTAAGTCCATGTTAGGTAAAGACTAAGATTGACCTTGTATCTGATGTAGGACCTCCACCGGACAGGGTGTAGTATGTTTGGTGGAGAAGAAGCCGAGATAAACCAGGCACTACTGAAGCGTGTCTTACTGGCGTATGCACGTTGGAACAAGGCAGTCGGCTATTGTCAAGGGTTCAACATGTTGGCGGCCATTATTCTGGAGGTCATGGAATGGAGAGAAGAGGACGCCCTCAAGGTAAAGCCACTTCTGATGTGAATTACAAATTCCATCTCTGGAGGCTATTTGTTACTGGTCTATTTAGTTTCAGGTTATAGAACAAAAAGACGTTTGTGTGATATTAATTCGAGTTTTTATGGAGTTGTAACTCGGTTCAGAATTTTTACTTTTTCGTACCCCTCCTCCATCCAATGGTTCAGCGGTAAAACTGAAAATTGAGGGCATAGCATAGGTAGCCCATTGTGCAGCTTTGCACTTAACAACAATTTTGTTGTGTTTTTTGTTGACTTTTTTTAGTACTTAAAAAGTAAATATATTTAGAACGAATCCACAGGTCTTTAATAAATCTGTTAAGATGGACTTAATCGAGCTTGGAACACAGACTTTAGATGTTCTAAATGATAACATTGAATCTGAATGTGTAGCTGAAAAATAAAGTTACTTGTGTTTTCTATTAGTATTGTATATAAACACCGTGTTCTGGGTGAAAAAGTGTGTTCGCAAGTAACATGTTCATGTAGCCAGATCTTCAAAACCCGAACACGTTCTGTCTCTGATCGCGAAGTGTGGGTTTATAAAAGTACAAATCTAACCTAAAACTCCTTTGTTGTATCTGACAGATCTTCAAAACCCGAACATGGTTCGACATTCCCATTGTTATTTAATTCTTCACGCGACTTTACTTATATTCCCATCGATTCCCAAACCTGCTGAGCTGTAGTTGAGTATGTAGAATTTCTTTATCTAAATAAAACTTATTTGATTATAGAAACGACCCCTGTAGACGGATTCTAACGTAACTAGTCTGAATTAACTCAGTAAAAGTGAATAAGTAGGTCCAGACTTTTGACTATTCTTCTATTAAATATCATCGGGTGGGGGGTGGCATGGCCTAATGGTTAGGACGCTTGACTTACAATCTGTGGATCACATAATCCAATCATCTTCCATTAAATATCATCGGGTGGGGGGTGGCATGGCCTAATGGTTATGACGCTTGACTTGCAATCTGTGGATTACGGAATCCAATCGAGGCGCTGAATGTGCTCGTTCTTTCAGCTGTGAGGACGTTATAATGTGACGTTCAATCTCACTTTTCCTTGGTAAAGAGTAGCTCAAGAATTAGAGGCGGGTGCTGCCGGCTGATTGCTTTCCTTGTAGTTCAAAATTAGGCACAGTGTCAGATACTTACTCGTAAACAAACGAACACTCGAATGTCACTGGAGAACTTACGAGTTCGTTAGTACTTTGTAAACCGTTTTCTTTGTTCCAAGGAGTGAACTGTCCTATTAGCCAGTACTCGAATATCAAAAGGTTGAAACTGTGATTTCTTTCAATAGCAACTACCATACTAGCAATTCTGACAAATCAGTTCGTGCTAGTTGACAAAACTTTGACTTTGTTCCACTACAAACTTCATCGGCAGCTCCCCCCAAACAGCTTGCGTACTTACTAAGTTATCCAAACATTTTAAAACATATTTCACGAACTACACACTACACACTTTTTAATTTTATTTTTAGGTCATGATATTTCTCATAGAGGGCGTTCTTCCAGAAGGCTATTTTGCGAATCACCTGAGAGGACTTTCCGTGGATATGGCTGTAATTAGAGATCTACTGCGCATGCGCTTAATTTGTCTCTCGCGCCATTTGGATAAGCTACAGGCAGAAGCAAGAGACAGTTCTACAGGTAAGTCTTAGACTTTACAAAATATTTCCATCTTTTAAGAGTAACTGTGTACACGTTATGTAATACAGCATAACACGGTTTTCCAAACTTGAAAACATCGTCATTCCCACTTCATCATTTCACCTATAGGTTAATGGAGTAGCGTGTCCATAACAATGTCGTAATCAATTTCAAAACCACTAACACAAAAAACGTAGCTGAAAGAATGAAAAGGTTAGTTTTTACTTATTCCATTGTAGTTAATGTTTTTTTTGTGTGTTTTTTTACTTTACTTGAAGCATATTTGATGCAAAATTTTACCGTAGTTTGAGTATAATAACAGATGTTATGGTGTAAACGCCTTTTCCAATCTGGCGAACCACGATTATAATTAATTATACTTTAGTATTAGGCCTGTTACATTTTTTATCACTACATTCTTAGAAGATTATATGACAACAATATTCCAACCAAACTATGTTCGCCATATCCATTCCCGAGGTCACAACTGTGTTTGTGTTCCAGCCGTTGAAATGCTATTATTATACACTCTCCTAATTCTTGAAAGTCCCCAAGGGACTAGATAAATAATGCATTGTTTAATATATAATAGGCATAATAATGATAATGTCTCACGACAAGTATAACTAGTTCGAGTATCTACATATTTTAATATTTTCCATGTTTCCAGGGGCCAGTTATGAACCACCACTGACCAATGTGTTCACCATGCAGTGGTTTCTCACGCTCTTCTCCACCTGTCTGCCAAAATCCACTGTTTTACAGGTGTGGGACCTCATATTCCTGGAAGGAAACGAAATTCTTCTTCGAACTGCCCTGGCAATATGGGACGGATTAGCAGAGTAGGTCGTCTTACACACCGCTTATCTAATTCATCATATTTTAGGTACTCTGGGTTACTTACCTGGCAATATGGGACGGACTAGCAGAGTAGGTCGTCTTACACACCGCTTATGTAATTCATCATATTTTAGTTATTCTGGGTTACTTACCTGGCAATATGGGACGGACTAGCAGAGTAGGTCGTCTTACACACCGCTTATCTAATTCATTATATTTTAGTTATTCTGGGTTACTTACCTGGCAATATGGGACGGACTAGCAGAGTAGGTCGTCTTACACACCGCTTATCTAATTCATCATATTTTAGTTATTCTGGGTTACTTACCTGGCAATATGGGACGGACTAGCAGAGTAGGTCGTCTTACACACCGCTTAAATAGGGCGCATACGTTTATTAAAAATCAAAACTGAAGAGTGAATTTTTATTTTTTTGTATTTTAATAAACGTATTTGTTTTGTGTTGCTTATTTTAATAATTTTCTATATGAAGTCAGTAAAACCTTAAGAGCAGATCGATGGTTGATTTAGCGACTTAAAAAGTTTTTTTTTATCAAAGTTATAACTTCAGAGAAAATTTACAAATTATACCAAAACGTGGAGACGTGTGTGGACCCTCATTTCAGCTTGGCTCGAAAATCGCACGCGCGTGCAAGTCATACTGCTTAATTATACATATTATTTGTATGTTTTAACATAATGAGTTACCTTGGGCTACTTATCTGGCGATAATTATCCATTTCATCATATTTTATGATAGATTAAAATCAAAAATTATTTTATAGATGACAGTATATCATTATATTACCTACCATGCCCTTCCTTGGAGATCTCCCCCTCCCCCTTTTTTATAGTCCCCTAATTTTAAGTTGTTATTATTACCATTTATCGGATTACAAGCTATACAAGTAAAGAAAAACGTCTCGAAACAGGAAGTAAATGTAGGGATGGCTAAAATCAATCCTTCAAAAACAATATAAACAAGATGGTAGGGATGGCACTTGCATCGTATCATAGACAAGAATTAACATATATCAACGTATCTAAATATTCAATCACAATTGAGTTTAATTTATCATATTTTTGTCTGTTAACATTCTACTATACTGTGTATCTGTGCTATTATGTAGGGATGATACAAATGTCATCCTTACACTTACTTCCTTTTTTGAAAAGTTTTTCTTTCCTTGTTTGCTTGTTGTTGTTATTTTTTAATGCAGTGTTTCAATAGACATGGGAAGGTTGTATTTATAACCAAGTTCTAAATACAGTGAGGTTCCAACTGTAATATTTATTGTTTATCTATTAGGTCGTCAAGAAATAATGTCGTATTTTGGAACACTTTCATTAACCATCCTTCAAAAAACGTACATCACCTATAATAGTTAATAGAACCGCCTAAACATCACGTTAGTGTAGCCTATATAATGCGTAAAGTTTAGAATACCCTAATCCTTTGTAGTGATGGCACACGACGAGACACACATTCGGGATGTAATGATGTTTGAATACAAGAAGGGAAACAACGCCTCTGTAGCCACAAAGAATATCAAAGAAGTTTATGGAAATGTTTTGAACGTTCCTAACTGTCAACGATGGTTCAGCAAATTTAGTTCAGGTGACTTTAGTCTTAAAAACTGTGATGGCAGGGGTCGACATGTTGGAATTGATATTGATGCTCTGAAGACGATTGTCGAGTCTAACCCAGGGCATCACACTCGTGAAATTTCATGTCTCTCATGAAACAATACGTAAACATCTAAGGAATATGGAAAAACTCTATAAAGAAGGTGTTTGGGTGCCTCACGAACTCTCCGATGATCATCGTTTCCAACGCGTGAACGTTGATTCGTCTCTTCTGGCGCGTAATGTGCATGAACCGTTTTGGAACAGAATTGTCACCGGTGATGAAAAATGGATTCTCTATGCGAATATTAAACGCTAAAAACAATGGCTCAGTCCTAAACAAAAACACTTCCGACCCAAGACCTGGACTTCATCCGCAGAAGGTGATGCTTTGCATTTGGTGGGACATCAAAGGAGTAATTCATTTCGAACTCCTCAATCCACAGCAAATTGTCAATACAGAGATCTATAGTCAGGAACTGGAACGTTTAAATCAAGTTCTTCATCAGAAATGGCCCTTCACTCGTCAATCGGAAAGGTGTTCTTGTTCTCCACGACAATGCACGTCCACATGTGGCACGTTTGACCCAACACAAGATTATGGAGTTGGGTTAGGAAATTCTCCCCACCCACCATATTCTCCAGATGTGGCACTATAAGGTTACCATCTTTTT